TGGCAAACCACCTTCCTACAATCTAGGTAATTTGGAAACAGAACTACAGATATGACTAGTAGTCAGGGAAGCTATGAATTGTAGTTCAGCAATACACTGGCCAGAATCCCTTGTTTGTGAAATGTATAGTCATATAAATTTGATGAATGAATAAATAAAATACTTATACATAAATCCTTCACAATTTCGTATAATGCATAGGCATTTAGATCCTGAAAAAAGATTATGCAGTGGCCAAGAGTTAATACCAACTTAGAAGCACATCATTATCATCAGGCAGTAAGAGGTCTGCAAGTATTATGAATGAATTTGTGATGGAAGCCTATCTATTTGGTTACATTTGGAGATTATTTCAGAAAAAAGTAATCAAAGAGAGCATCGCAATAGTCCTAGAGTGACAATCTGGATCCAGGACATATTCTGTATCTTTAATAGTGCCTGCAGCCCCACAAAATAAATAAAAACCCTGGTAAAAAAATGGAATTCCTCATGATTGCAAAATTTCACTAAATTTTAACTCTTGTGAATTGTCTATTGGGTCTGAAAAGATTCCTAACTTCTCCAGTAGTCTAAGACAGGGGTCCCCAACCCCCAGACTGTGGACTGGTACCGGGCCGCGGCATGCCAGCAACCAGTCCACACAAACAAGTAAAGCCCCATCCATGGGATGCAGGCAGCACACAAAACCACACCCCCTCCGGTCTGTGGAAAAACCTCTCTCCACGTAACTGGTCCCTGGTGCCCAAAAGGTTGGGGACCTCTGGTCTAAGAGATGTGTAGCTAAGGCCTCCTTTCGCTGCCTGAGGCATAAAGCTAAGATAACTCCAGATTTCTATATGATTTGGCAGTTAGGTATCCTGGAATTGCATTCCTCAACTAGAAAGTTGCCTGCCAACAATTAAGAATACAGCTAATAATGCCCTTCTTGGAATATGAGAGGAGATGAACTAGGAGGCACTACCTTAAGTTGGCATCATTTATCTATTGGAACAGTCTCGCGGTGGAAATTAGATGTGCTGATGATCTTTAGAGAATAGTTTAAATCCAAACCCTTCCAAGAGCACTTATAAATTGAGAAGGCATCATCTCAGTTTACTATCTTGTTGACTGATTATAAATGATCATGGAAGTGAAATGTGTCTCATTTCACTGGATTGTTTTTTTTAGTTTACCATATATCGTTTCCTTCTTTTTTCTTTTTTTTTAATCCTTAGCCAGGATTTTTTTTTATTATGTTCGCTTCCAAGGTTCATAACATAACTATGGTGGAGAATGAATGAATGAATGAATGAATGCTTCTGCCTACTGATGTAACTTTTATAAGCAGCACTGTATTCAGGAACCATATGAGCTGTATATGACCCATCCTCATTCAGGTTGTTATCCAGTTGTTTGGCCTAATTCATTCCAAAATGTCTTCTTAGGTGTTATAAATTTACTTACTTTAATGGAATTAGAAGGTATCTTTTGTTTGCATGTAAGTCTTTACCCAGTTTTCAGAATGAACTCCCTCAGTTATTCTATGTAGAGATTCACTGCAGCTTCATTCCTCACAGGTAGAGGAGTGGGGGGAATAATAATTTGAGGGGTTAAGCAAAATTCCCAGAAGTTTCAGTAAATTAATATTATCTTCCAATTTTCAGGATAACAATACTTTCAAGATAGCTAAAATTCATTATAAAAATTATAGTAAATTTTATTTTATTTTTAAAATTATAGAATCTTCCCATAAGGCAGGGGTCCCTAATCCCCGGTCCATGGACCAGAACCGGGCTGTGGCATGCCAGCAACTGGTCCGCACAAACAAGCAAAACCCCATCCATGGGATGCAGGCAGCACACAAAACCACGCACCCTCCGGTCTGTGGAAAAACCTCTCTCCACCAAACCGGTCCCTGGTGCCCAAAGGGTTGGGGACCTCTGCCATAAAGGAACTCTTTATATAGCTTTTGGAGTTGTGTGAAGAGTTTACCTGAGCAGATACCTTGATCAGTAACATCTACCTTTTCCCTTCTGTCTTCAGGGATCCTTTGCTCAGGACTGTTGTTAGTAATGGTCTTGTGGAGTGGGGTGGACAGGAGAGGGATGAGTCCACCAGAATCATCTTTGGAGTTGGTTATCACTACATTTCTTCTTCTTTTTCATTATTTAATAATTTTCCTATAAAATTTTGGTCAGATTTATGAATAGAAAAATAGTCAGATTGCTAAGCACATCCAAGCTGTCAGTTGACTGCAGCTACTTAGCTTTAAAAAAAACACACTTTAATCCTTCTTATCAGAATGGAAGAACATCCCCCACACAACTTAAAGCCCTATGTTTCTCATCCCCCCGAGGATTCAAATAATCTTTACAGAAAGATTTTACAACCACTCCCCATCCCCCTCCCTACAGTGATCAAACATTGATCCATTGCTGGCTACATGGAGGTATTCAAAAGCAAGAAAGATAGCCAATAATGCAGTAGCATCCCAGCACTATCTTATGAACACGTGCCTTCAGAATAGATTGGCACTACTGTGACCACGTCTCCCTTCTAGTAGTGAGTTTTACGTTTTGCCCTTATCTCTTCAAATGTTTCCTTTTCAATTCATGCCATCCCATATTAGTCACCTAACATTTTTATTGATCAGATAATAGATAACATATTACTTAAAATTTAATTAAAGATGCAGAAATTGGTATGCAACTTTATATGTTACATCAATTGTGCAAACTTCACAAAGTCTGGCTTCAAACTTTGTCAGACTTCACAAATAATATTCCTATATTGCCTAATGAAATTATACACAGAACAATGTTTATAAGTTTTAGTCAGTATGATTTTTCCCCTTCCATATTTGGTAAATGTCACTGGAACAGCTTTTGGGTTTATAGGATTTGACAGTGTTCAATACAAGAAATCTCTTTGAGGTTTTTAGCCTAAATACGTGGTAAGAAGTTTCATTTTCTTAGTCTCACTTGATAACAATCAACAACATTGCATTCCACTGTGAATTCTTCCCTCTCATTCAAGCTTAGAAAAAATGAAACAACAAAGCCTTTTAAATTGCAAGGTTTTCTCTGTATTCAAGATTTGAGCCCAAAGTAACTCAACACAAACACACACATATTTGCCAGCTATAGTATCAGTTAAACATGGTAATGAGGATGAGATGGGAAACTTGACAAATAAATAAAATAAATGTGAGCATTATACTCCATCTGGCCTTATCTTCTTCCTAACTTTAAAAAGGAAGGGTTTCCACAAATTGGTGGACATTTTCTGTTTCTCAGTATGGTAGCTGGCTTTTCTCTGCCTAGTAAAACATTTGTGCTTCTTTTTGTTCATCATTTTTACCTCCATCAAGAGCTTCCTGCATTGGATGGACATGTCCTTATGAAGTTTTTCCCTTTCTGGTCTTCTGCATGATTCTCCACATAGTGCCCAGGAGCTCCCTTCAGCAGTTATTTCCAGAACTACTTTCAAACAAGAACTCGCAGTAGTGCAAAATAGTGTTGCTTATTGTTTTGTTTTGTTTTTACTAAAACCAATAACCCAACTTCAACAATCAGAGTTGTCTAATTCGATTTATTTGCTTGCTATTATCATTATTCCAATCTTCCTCCACCTTTCTTCTGCCCAGAATCCTTTCTGAGTCCTCCCTTCAAGATACCATTGATAAAGCCTGCCCCATCCTTTCTTTCTGTGAGAAACGTTCTTGTGATAACTAAATTATTTCTATCTTTATCAACAAAACTAGCACAAAGTACCAGAAAGCATTTGTTTGAGTATGAGCGTGAAAGTATGAAAATGTGACCATGGCAATTCCAGGCATGTTATAGTAAGCTGTGATTATATATGAATTGAGTTTGTATGCACTGGAATATACTTGTTTAGCTCCACAAATAGATAGAAGAAAACATCAGCCAGTGATATAACCAAGTTGCTTGGATTATTGGAAAAAGCGTTTTGGATTATGTGAACCTTGTCCTGAACTGAACATAAGAAGACATAAAATGCATTGGTTGATTCATAAAGAAGAGTTTATGGAGAAATTAGAACTGCTGTTCTATTTACCAAAAATGCTTTCTGTCAAATAAGTGGGATTTACTTTTGCAAAAATGAGATTCATGTATAGTTTTCTGATAGCTCACTTCTTAAAAAGTTCAGATTAATTTACAGAACTTGTTTTAATAAAATTTAAGGTAAATTTTATGGAATTTAGCTCACATTTTGAAAATCCATATTTGTTACAAATATGAATTAACAGTTGAATTAATTATATATAATTATAGTCCTAAAATATTCATATTTAAATATTCTATTTTAAATGGCATTGTAGATGGAAAGCCATCTTAGTCTGTGATAAAAAAAAACACTCCAATTTAATTGCACCAATTAACCACTTTATATATTTGATGAAGTGAGCTGCAGCTCAATACAATTGTTAGTCAGAAAAATGGCTACCAGACTCCTGACTTTTCGCTATCTTAAATGGCTTAATCTATAAAATATTTTTATATCAGAAATCTAATTTGTAGAACACACAAAACCTCTGCTATGTCTCAGTGCTGGAACCACCTAAACAGAAAACATTTTAAGACCCTTATTATGTCATCACCTCTTTTTTAACAATGTTTTCTTTTCCCCACTGCATAACCAGGCTCGGCTCCCTTCGTGCTCATCCACCTATAGTGTTTCTGAGGTATACTTTGCACGTGTTCTTTCATAGTACAGTTTCTTCATTCATCACCCTTTGATTTAAATCTATTTATTTCATCTGGCTTTCCCCATGCAGAAGTGAGAGAGAAAAAATCACCTTGTGGATTTATTATGCATGCTCACCTTGCAACCATGTCCAGCTTAGTTTAATACCAATCAACCACTGAACAATATTTAATTGCAGTATCTTTTTATAGTCTATAATAATATTGTATAATTGCATACAAACCAAAATTCTGTGCAGTTTTTTTAAAGAAAAGTTTTTTTTATGCAGAAAGTCAATACTATATAATTTTGTAATCCATCCGTAGTCACTGCTTTGAGATGGGTGGCCATATAATTCATTGAAATTAATTAATTAAATGTTTGTTGGATTTTTTTAATAGTCAGGTCTTTCAGAAATAGGTTATAGAATTCAATAATTGTATTTTCATGTATGACTTTGAAGTTTTATCTGTTTCATAAATGAGATTGGAGGAAAAGTGAAATAATTGCTCTTTCATTGACTTTTATTCAATGGAATAGAAAAAAATGGAAGAAGCTTTTCAGCAACTGGAATTTTCTAGAAGCATCCACAAATCATGTTTCCCTGATAACTATTATTGGAATGAAAAGAATGGAAAAATATCTTGTATTTAATACTGTTCTGGAAGAGTTTTGTACTAACAAATTTATCACGCATCCAACATAGTCACAAAATGATTACTATAAAAATAATGTCTAAGATCTCGCTACATTTTTTCTTTTGGATATACAAATACTTTCTGCATGCAGTTTTGCAAACACAGAGAACATTCCCAAAGTTACTACTCTCACTCTTTTTTTTCCCATTCTAACTAAGCCTGCTGCTGTGCTTGACATCTTGCAAGATATTTAGCCATGTCACAACAAATTATCCATAAATCTACCCTGTGCTTAAATATCTGCTCACTTATTCATGTTCTTTATGGAGACAGAGAAGGTCAGGAGGTGCACTGGGTAACTATGGATTGAAAATGTAGGGTTTTATATCATCAGGAAGGGCCATAGGATGGAGTACAGATACATTATAATATTTGAAATTCCAGTGGAATTAGAAAAGCTCTAGAAAGAGATGTCTGGATTGTCTACCAGTGTGACTTAGTAATCCATAAGAGTAAATAGATGGTACTGTTTTGGGACCCCACTGAGGTGAGACTAAACCATCTATCCAGAGTTTGTTAATTTTAGAATTGTAGATGTAATGGCAATCTTTTGGTAAAGAGCATATTTGTTCTTATCATAAGAGAATATATTAAAACAGTTTTCAGTATCAGGCAATTTATGTTAACTCCTCTTCATTTAATATCATATAGCACTATGTATCTTGAGTGCTTTTGCTGCCAATTCCAATTCCAATATATCAATTCATAATGCTTATAATAGGAACAGTCATTACAATGCTTGAATTTTACTATTATATCTGGTGTATGCATAAGATTAGCAGTGACACCCTCTCTCAGTCTAACTCATTTTACAGGTGGTTGTTCTGGGGAAAATAGGATGAAGGTATGTTGGATATTTTGCCGCCTTGAATTATTTGTAAAAATAATAAAAGCAGATACAAATAAAATAAAAATAAATATAATGGATATTTAATATAACCACTATGAAAAAGTTTAATGGCATTATATAATAAATAGTTTGGGTGAGAATAAAGCTCCTCCCCTTAGATTTTTTGAATTTTAGTTCTATATTGTGGCATACTATTTTTTACTTGAAGATATAGCAGATGTGCCAAATTGTAATACAAAAAGTCATTATACCATTCTTCTCAAAATATAGAATGGTGGCCCATAAAAAATGTGAAAGTATGTTTGAAAAATATTTTTGCCACTATCCTCAATGTCCTACCCACACCCTTACCTCATTATACACACTTGTATGTGGCTGGGAATGCACTGCTTAGTCATGCATCACATGCATATTGTCCATTGCTTGCAGTGAACAATTAAAATTGAAATAATTCATTTTCTATTGTAAGTTCTTCCTGAGATCAGAAGGTGGCCTAATTTTTATGAAAATTACTGGATAACTTAGGCATGTGTTTGGCTGTCTTAATAACTTTGATATTGTGTCTGTATATTTTATTCTATACCTCATTCTATAGTTTCTTTCCTGCCTTTGGTATGTTTCCTTTAGTCTTTGACCATAACATTAAATAAATAAAAATATCAATTATTGACAATCCCAGGTAGTCAAGAGCAGAAGCTACATAATACACTTTATTTATTTTGATGGACAGTTATTGGTTCTAATGAAGCTATCATGGACAGTTATATAGTATACCATGCAGCTTTTATTCATAAAGTAGACTTGAATCTTGTCATTCTGAAACTTTATTTTTCTACTTAGATATCTCCTAAAAATCTCCTAATAGCCTTAACAATAAGTTGTCTAATATAAGAGGAGATTAAAGGAAATTTATTATTAATTTAGCTAGGGTCATTATGTTGTATTTCATTACTGCTGTAGTGGATTTACAATTGTGATTGCCCATATATGTCTAAATAATAGAAGCCAAAGACAAACACTGACAAACCACAACTTTCACACACTGTTTGAGTGAGGTTAATGGTATATGACAGGTCAGTATTTTAAATAGGACACAAGAGTCAATGACAGATCAGCTGGTATCAATAAACAAAATTACATATTCATCTCAGGGGCCTCAAGATGGCATACATAGTATCTCCTCTTATTTTGTGCTCAGAGCAGCAGCATTGAGAAACAGTACTAACCAAAAATCACCTGAGCTCCACACTGAATGAATATTTGAATCTAGGTCTCTCTCTCTCCCCAATTCCACTCGAACACCTAACTACTGTATTTTACGTATAGTTTAACGTTTAGGAGTTCTAACATTTATCAATAGGGAACATTTCCTGCTTCAATACTGGTGATCTGAGAAATCAAAATATATTCACCTTGTTTTTTCAAATCTCAGTTTCATTGATTTTGTGTTTTGAAGAATTGGCACCTCTCTCAAAATCAGGGTTGGTGAAGCTAATTTCATGACATTTGGAATATAAATCATTTAATATGATTTTCCTGAAAACTGAAGCTCTGGGAAGAAAAGAAGCATTTCAAATGAGTTTCATACTTTGTTTGAACTAGAACAGAAAAAGAATAATTTTTAATATTTTTTTAAATATAAATGTATCATTCTGTAAGAGTCTTGTATCTAAAATATACCCATTCTCTAAAGACATCTGGTGATGCATATAGTCTTTTTTTGGTCCGTCTAATGAACACTATTTGAGGAAATCTTGCATTATTAGATACATACCTTTTGCATCTAGTTTTTCTTATATTTTAATATACTTCTCTTTATTCTTATTTTTTATATTTTTCTTATATCTTTTTCCTCATTAGTTCTTTCAGATCCTTGGAAGTGTAATTTCATGCAAATGCATAACAAGCAGTATTATTAAACATTCTTGGTTGCTAATTTAATCTACATAATTAAACCTTTTATAGTTTTAGATTGTAGGAGACTACAGTAAATTATATAAAAACAGTTGGACTTAAGGGTATGAATGTCATGTAGCTATTAGAAAATTTTTTACAGATAACTATCAATGCTTGAATAATTTAGTAGTTCCCTAAATGTATAGAAAAAGGGGACTTCTGTCAAAATTACACATATTGTAAATGTTTCTTTCAAAATCATATTAAAGAGGCAAATCAAAAGGAATGGTAGGCACTAGTACATCCATTTCTAACTGCGGCATTTATAAAGAATGTTAATTACAGTACATTATAAAGAGCATGCAACCATTTTTTAAAAAAATGTTAATACCTCTAATTCAGACAGCCTTTAAAATTTGGAGTTTGCCAAATACCAAGATCTATATTTCTAAATCTTTCACAGAAAAGGTAATATATATTTTTCAAATATTGTTAAGTATAGCACATTATAAAGAAGACCTTGTGAAACAATAAGCAAAATCCAAAAATGAAGAGCCTTAAAGCAAATCCTTATAATCCAGTGTTTTGTTTTGTTCTTACATTGCAAAGCAATTGTATTTCTCTAAAACTAATATTTAGACTTTGCAACATCATCTTAATAATGTGATTTTTTTCTGAAGAATGCTTCCATGAATGTAATGAAATTAAAAAATTATAACTGCAATCAATAACTTGGTTCTGTTTTAATTGAAGGGGATGAGTAAGATTTCTCTTTTAGGAAAATACATTATTCTTTTGTACACATTTTTTATTTGATAATTAATCAGTGTGGGAACAAAAACATCTAATATACTGATTAGTTTTACTTAACTTGTGGCACTTCTTCCTTGGGCAACACATCCTTGTGTCGTGTAAAATGCTTTTGAACATCCCCCAGTTTCAGAGGAATATGCTTTGCTTTATGAGATCATGAGGGTGGAACATTGCTCTGTGGTATTAACCAAAATTAATTATCTTGGACCAATGGAACTATTGTACAGTTCTTTGAACTTGGCCAATATTTTTTCAATGAGGAACAAGGAATTGTAGTGAGATTTTGTGAGAAAGAACAGCTATATAAGTACGTTTTCACTAAATATATTATAAAAGCAATTTAAAATATTCTGGATAGAGAGGACTGCTGGATTAAAGGAGGGGTCAAAGAGCCATCTACATTAAGATGAACAGACCTCTCTCAATAGAGGGGGAGGGATATGACACCACCTATCTCCTGTTTACAACACAGTCCTTTCAGCATTTCCAAGAAGGTTCCACATCCATTTGCACTATTTAGGTGACCCTGAGGACACAGATAAACCTCCAAGTGGCCTCAACGATTCCCAGAAAGTTTGCTAATGATCAGATGACTGCAAGGAATATAAATCCTTCCATTCTCCACCATTCAGTCAGAATTAAAGAAGCGAAATGTCTTCAAAGAAAAACAAAGAAAGTCTAGTTGTCTTTTGAAAAAGTACCTTTGGGACAGGCAATGTAGTGTGAAAATTATTCTTAACT